CCACCTTATCACCTGAATCTCCTCCTAGAGCACCATTGTGTTCTTTTTAACCAAATATCTCTCAGAGGGGAGGGGCTCCTTATTTTCCATCTAAAGTAACAGACTGTGGCCGTTTCTCAATGTCGAGTACACATGCTGCAGAGCAACTATTTCAAGTATACTACGTCATCGAGTGGCGCCGAAGGACTGTTTAAATGCAGGTTAAATGCCCAGCATTCTGCGCCACTCTATGACGTAGTATACTTGAAATAGTGGCTCTGCAGCATGTGTACTCGACATTGAGAAATGGCCAGAGAATCAGCACTTTTGAAACAGAGCTGAAACAGAGAGGATTATGGGTAATGCTACAATGATCTGTTTGGTGTTTGGAGCCAAACACTTCAGAGACATGTTTTGTATATATCTGAGACCTATAATATATTGATGAAAACCAGTATTATAGGGGACTTTTAAAGTAGACGTTATGACGCTGATAATCTCTAACGTCTGTGCAGCTCCAGGGAGCGGCGGGACTCCCCCCCCCAGCGGCCCTTCCTCCACCGGGTCCTGCGCGCGGCCTTCCCGCTCCACCTGCTCCTCCTGCTGCTGCTGGTCCTGACCTGCCTGGTGCCCGTCTCCGAGGACAACTACAGCTGCACGCTGACCAACAACTTCGCCCGCTCCTTCTACCCCATGCTGCACTACACCAACGGCCCCCCGCCCACATGAGCACTGCCACCACGCCCAAAACCTCCCCTAAGAAGACTGAAGGACTCAATGTGACGTGGAGACAGAAGTGTGTTCATAGTGTGAAGGTGCAATTTAAAGACATTCTACCTGTCACACAAAAAAAAGCACCGCCCTTTTTTAAATCTAAATCCGATTGGTGTATTTAAATATCTATTTATTGTTCGTGGTGTTCCACATTTATAAAAAAAGAAGCCATATCCTGGTTCGTTTTTAACGTTCTGCCATTTTTATATGTAGATTTAACGTCCCCACTTACCATATTCAACACACGAAGATAAGTAAGGTCTCTAGATTTATTTTAATATCTACGCTATATTTTCTGATTTTGTACTTGCATTGTAAGCCATGGGATCTATATTGAGGGGTAAAGGTCAGTGATTACCAAAGCGTACAGAAAGCGAGAATTACACTAAGCATTTTCTACCACTGCAGCTATTTTTACAGTTTTTCATAGAAGAAGGTTGTTGATGGCGCATTTTGTACAGAAGAGAAGAAGATTGATTAAGAGATATTTAAAAAGATCTGTAAGATATTTTTTCTAAATAATGCTGGCAGTGACTCCTGCATACATGCCTTTCTGTAGCCAACAGAGCCCCCACAGCTGGAACATATCGTACTTTTAATGGTGTTTGAGGACTACTGTGTATAAGCAAACTACTGAGAAAGAAAACGCAAAATTATTGTTTCTGCATATTTGAGTTTGAGTGTCTTCCTGTATTCTATTTCAATAATTTAGCATGGGACTGTAGTCTAAGCGCTGGTGTAATAAAACGACAGATATGTTCTTATGTTAACAACTTCATGGCCAGTGTTCGGGAGGTCATTTCTGTATATTTCAGCATGTATACAAAAAGTCGTCGAATTAAAGCGGCATTAGGTGATTTGGTACCTCTAGGGGGCAGAAAGAGCCCAAAATCACCGCTCATATAATAACGGATAATAAGGGGCTTTTAACAAATATAGTAACATTTTTTTTTTTTTTTAAACGGTTCAAATTCCAGTAGATTTAGTTATTGTGTCTATGTGCAGCATTACAACCAGACCTGCTAGCTAACAGATGCTACTTTGTACGATCATTTCCACATTCAATTGCAGTAATTGCATTCAATGAAATATTGCTTGATGAAGTTTCAAAGCGTGTTTTTTATATTTTGTTAATATTGATGCAACAATATTAGCTCCAGCTGTCACATCACTGCCATTTAGCTGAAGATCAAAGAACACAAAGCCCCCCCCCCCATGTTATGTTCAAATACCTAAATCACTTTATTCTAAATTATTTTATGTTGTTCAAAACGTACCCAACGCTGTCCAAGTTGGACCCGTAGAGTAAAGTCCTGCAGATGTCAAAAATCCAACAGGTTGAAACAAAGATTGTTTAAAAATATATATAATTTGTTATTAATATTGTGGCGATTTACCTGCTTTACACCACTCGTCATCATGAAGTGAGAGGACTGGTTTCAAATCTATTGATCCAGACTCTGAGTCGAACATGAATGCTTTGAGCATTGGATGTAGCTGTGTACGTCACAATCAAAGACCATTACATGTACGATGTTAATATTATTGATCCTAAATGTTTGAAACTCAAGTGTTTGGTCCTTATTTGTATATAATGTCACACTCAGCAGAACAGAAACAAACAACAAAACGTGTGTAAAGTTTGATTTATTTTGTGAACTCTTATTTATGGGATGTGATTTGATTGACAATAAACTGTGTTTGCCATGATTCGCAGCTGCTTATTTATTGTATTGTAGGTTTGCTACAGGCAGGAAGCAAGATCTCAGATTTGCATATGTGTGTGTTGTGAACAAGTGGAAATAGTTTCAGCATCAGAGATGGATGAGTGTGTGTTGTGTGCATGCATGTACGGGTTACAGACATCGGGAAAACACAGATATTGAACATGTTTCTGTATAATAGCAGTGGTAGGAATATTTGGCACTCAGGCTTCATTTACATTGGCAGAAAAATGGCACTGTTCATGACATGTCCAAATGAGTCATTTTGTGTTTCTTCAGTTTGTCTGGCCCGATTGAAACAAATCTAGTTTGAAGACTTAAAGCCAACCGTTCCTTGTTTCTAGTAAAGCCAAAAACAATTAAACTAACCAGTCCTGGACCGATGCTCCTAAGACTTTTCATCATGTGGTATCCTGTCTAAATTACAGCAATGAACGCTGATTATTCCATCCTGTTCCTGTAAATAAGACCACCAAGGCACATTCATTTCCCTTTGTTTAGGCAGAAGTTCTTTATCACAGTTGTAGCTGCAGCAGAATTGACTGGAAGTACGCTATACTCTAATTGCTTTAAATTGAATATATCTGTAAAAGTTTGCACATAGCCCGGCTTGCTATAAATAGTATCCGTTTCTTTCCTGTTTAACTTCTCATTGAGTAAACTGACCGGTGGTTACGTGACACATTGTAGGAATATTTCATATTATTTTCAAAGCATGACAATACAGAACATTTTATACACTACACTTAAAATGTACACAAAAACAATGCATCAGAGATCAGCTTTAGTTTAACAATGATGCATACTTAATAAGCTTTTTATCAGAACAATTCAATGTTTTCTGCACCTAGGCTATTGTTATATGATCACTTTGGTTTGTTTTTTGAAGAAGGCTCTGTGAATATAGCAGCTTATGTTCAAGAGTAATCCAAACTTTAAAATCTGACAGGTACTTTAAAGGTGTCATGAACTTTAGGGCTAAACATAATGGGTAAATACATTTTAGTTTTGTGTAACTGCATCACTCTTCATAGTTGAATGCACTTATTGTGAGTCGCTTTGGATTAAAGCGTCAACTCTTTATGTGTTAACTACGAACAGTGCCACACATTGTATTGTAAATCCAGCCTTTGAAGAAGAAAAGTTTTTGTTAACAGTCGTTTTGTTAAAAGGCCACAAACTGCTGAATCTTTACTCATCTAAAACGTGTAGTGTGTACAAAGAGAGTAGAAAACAGGCACCGATTAAAACACCAAAGAACTGTAAGTAGTGAAAGAGAAAAACACCACAGCCATTTTTTTTTTTTAAAGCTATGATTATAACAACCCTTATGGAGATGAATATTGACCACATGCATTCCTCTGTAAGTCACTGCAGATTGTGGATGGCTTGTTCTGGATGATACACCAAGGTGACAAAAGAGATACAAATACTGCATATCAAAAAAGAGCTCAAACTGACTGGCAGAGGTCCAGCGATGTTCTCATGAACATCTACTGTAGTGCACATTCACAAGAAATATTTACGCACACAAAATATACATTCGATCGAAAGCTTCTCTTTTTCCAAAGACTAATAACATCTCAAAAAAACGTTACCTCACAACAGCACTTTCTGTTAGTTGCTAATCCTTTTTTGTTTTCCCTTTTCTCGATCTTTGGGAGGTGAAAAGCCATTAAAAGGTTTGGTCTCAGTTAGTGTCTTTCCGTCCCGTTACCCCTGTAAGGCAGTTTCCATGACAACTCGATCAGGGATGATGTAATCTGTTGGTTCGATTGTCGGACCGCCGTCTCCTTCATCCAGCGACCACAGCTCCGGATGGATGTAGCTGTGAAGAACGTGTTTAAAGTTATTTACCACAAGTCCAAAAAAAGAGCACTTAATGAAGAAAAATCACAATACAGTGTGTTGAAAAATATGAAAAAAGTTATTATAACATGTCGTAAAAAGTCTTATTATAGTATGTTGAGAAATGTTATAAAGTCACATTACAGTATGTTGAGAAATGTAAAAAAAAAAGTCATATTATAGTATGCTAAGAAATGTTATAAAGTCATAATTTAGTATGTTGAAAAATGTGAAAAATAGTTATTATAGTATGTTGAAAATAAATAAAAAATTCATAGTACAGTAAGTCGAACATTTTGAAAAAAAAAGTATGTGAAAATGATCATGAAAAAAGGCATGAAATAGTACGTATAAAAAGTCATGGTATAATACAATGAAAATATCACGAAACATGTCATATCTGAAGTGAGTCAGGAAAAATGACTTTAAAGATGAATTATTTATCAAAAAGAATTACTGTTTATTTTCCTGCTGATACTAATTAGTCAAATCGTTGCAGCTCCATAGTCGTCCGACTCGTCACCAGTGGTGTAGTGGGCGTTGGACGCGGGGGTACGCCGTACCCCATTGCCAGTGTTATCAGTGGCAAGTGTGTGTTTGTTGTAATAATGACGAAAACATAATAGGCAGATTTCACAGTAATTATAATAAAAACTACTAAGCCACTTATTTAAAGCATGATTATTTTTTTTAACAGTCTAATAAANTTACATTAGCATCGCTAACACTCAGAGCTAACCTGTACTGGAGAGCATGTGTGTGAAGAATTAGGAAATAAAAAGGAATTCACCTTGTGGTATAACCGGCAAGAGAGAAAGCCTTTGAGCTCCATACTGTTTCAGAAATAATCCTTGATAATCCATGATATGGTGTTTCATCACGGCAGTATTTAGTTTAGACAGTAGCGGCCGGGTCCCGCATGAGCTCAGCCTTCTCCTTTTTTATTTTGTATCAATCTTTTATTTTATTAAAGCTTTATACCCAAAATCTGCACTTTTGAAACAGGAAGTGAAATAGAGGGATATGAGGCATGGCTAGAATGGGCGATCTGTTTGGTATTTTGAGCAACACACTTCATAGACATATTTTTTAGATATCTGAGACCTATTCTATTGCCTAAAAATAGCCACCACAAGTTGAAATAATTAGTTATATTTTTTGGTTTTGGTAAACTGACACCTTAAAGGGAAAACATTGTTGAATAGATTAATAATATTGATTACATGTAATCTAATAAGACTCACAGCATGTGACTGTGTTTTATTACACAGTTCCTCCAGTTTACATGATCTCCAAGCACTCATTATACACATTACGTTATTCTTCTCATTATTTTTCTCTGAGGAAGAACAGTTATTTGGGATGCAACCATATTTCATTTCAACTGATAGACTGTTTTAGTAAATGTAGCGAGAGCTGATGGCCATGTGATGACACAAAGACTGTTCACACCAAGACCCTTAATCTGCTGAAACGGATTTCTACAAATAAAAAATTAGACTTCATATCCTGCAGTCAAAGGGTGGATCTAATTAATACATTATATTGTAAAGTATAATCGTAGTTGTACAAAAGCAAATGGCAGAGCTTAACATCTTTAAAGCTCCAGTGTGAACTGACATACTGCTCATTCCACACATTTCGATCATTGTTATGTATGCCGCTCCTCCTTCCATTCCCACGGGGAAAAAAGATCATGACGGCATCAGCGGAGAATACAGAGTATGGCATTAGTCCAAGCAACTCTAAGAAATATAGGTAACTTCTACCCATTCATGTGAAGAGGATGTTTTAGCAAATTGATTTGTTGAAATGTATCTGCATTAACAGATAGAATACACATTCTTAATTTCTTTAAAGCTTAGTTTTTTATGGTTTTCCTTCCAACATATTGTATACAGTTTGCAGGTGTGAATGAGCCATCAAAGTTTACCATGAAATGAAAGCATAAACTGCTAATCCTCATCTTATATAATCCCCTGCACCTGTTCATCAGGAAATGGTCAGGTGTTGTTTACAAACCAGCGTAACAAGATCCCCAGTTATTGGTGAGGCACTTCAGAGACATTGACCTCCGCTTGCTTCCCGTAACACTGTGAAGGACTACAGTGGCCACGGCCTGTTTAGATGACACCCGCTGAACACAGCGACCTCTGACCTCAGTTGAGGTCCTAAACCCGCCTTCCTCATTACCTCATGCTGCCATAATGTAAAGCATGTTATTAATGGCCTGCAGTGGCAACGAGCTATGTGAGAACAAGGCTTCAAATAATACTTACGGTATATGCAATATATACTGCTTCATAATTATTATTATTATTATTATTATTATTACTTGCTGCTGTCCCTTAGCTAGACAATTCAATGTAACTTCTTTAATAAATCTGTAAATAACTGTGCAATGTATACTTCCACATGTAATACTACCACCTGTCTGCTATCTCATAACTGTAACTGGTACTGGATGTGTATTTCTTTCATTGTAAATTGTGTAAATCTACATTTATCTTTAATATATTTATGCAATATTTGGCTCTTTAATTACTTTAACAATGTACATTTCCCCTCTGTGGGACGAGTAAAGCTATTCTGATTCTGAAATCAACACCAAAATATGGACCCATCATCACAGATGATACCAAATACAGGAAAAATATTTTCTAACATTTATCCTTACGTTCACTGCCACTGTGCTAAGTGGAGCTGTAAGGGAAGCTGACATTTCCATTCAAAGCTATGGCCAGGTGCTAAGTCAGGTGCATCCGTAAGGCAAGCTGGTCCCTGGGACTTAAGAATAGTCACAGAGGAGAAAATAAGGAGAGGAGGGCTTCTATTTCAGACCGACTGTGACTTTTATAGAGGGTGACGGCATGTCCTGAGAGGGTGACTGAGAGATAAATAACATTGCACAGATGCTCATCTCAAACCAAGATAATGTAGAGAAAACCTCCTGCAAAAGTTATTTTCAAACGTATATAGTGCTATACTATGGAAATGAAAACATATACAATTAAAAACCAAAAACACATAGCTGATAATCGATGGAAAAAAATGAACTGAATATTGCAGATTTTTTTTAATGTAATGCTCTTTTTTGATTTGTATTTGTATTTTCTATTATTATTATTATTATTTTTTAATTATTATTTTTTTTTAATTCTTTATTGGGGCTAAAACACAGAGCATGTATTTATTTTACCTAGTGCATACTGATATAAGGCTGCACATTACGTGTGTATGTCCGATATAAAGAGGGGTATGTAATATATAATATGTTATACATGTTCCTCTTTCTTTGTTGTAATTTACCTATACTATTTGCAAAAGTATGAGTTTATATTCCGAACAAAGTGCATCTGTTCATGAAATAATAATATGTCAGACAATACATGTTGCAATAAAAGGTTTGTTATGGAGAGGATATGATAAAAAGGGAAAACCAAGTTGTAAAAGCTTAAAGCTGCACGGCATATTAGTTTTCTGCTTGAGGAAACAGAACCTTACAATGTTTGCGCGATAATGTGAGCAATAATTGCATACTTAGACATTTAACACAGTTGGGAAGATTAGCATTACAGTTCAATATGTATGATACCTCTCAGTAACACGTTTCATAATAACCTTTGTATTTGTTAATATAAAATTGATGATTAGTGCAGCTTTGAATATAGTGGTTAATAACTCTTGGAACATAGTCAGCATGAAGTACTTTGCTTTTCAAAATGCTATTGCTGATTGCACTGAAAAACTGAAACGTTTACTTTAATTAAATGTATTATGTCAACAGATTTCACATAACTGTATTAGGTTAGTTGAAAGCAATGATATTAGTTTGAACCAAATATTATTTGTTTAAACTTAAAGGGGACCTATAATGCAAAATGCACTTTTTGATGTCTTTTATACATGTGTCCCCGGTGTGTCAGGAGACTCACAAAGTATCAAAAAATAAAACCCGAGATGTGGGTACGGAGGAAAAAAAGAGAGGGTTTTATTTTTTGATACTTTGTGAGTCTCCTGACACACCGGGGACACATGTATAAAAGACATCAAAAAGTGCATTTTGCATTATAGGTCCCCTTTAAGNTGCGCAAAGCGGGACACCTGGTCACCCCACACACACACACACACACACACACACACACACACACACACACACACACACACACACANAACCAAATATTATTTGTTTAAACTTAAAGGGGACCTATAATGCAAAATGCACTTTTTGATGTCTTTTATACATGTGTCCCCGGTGTGTCAGGAGACTCACAAAGTATCAAAAAATAAAACCCTCTCTTTTTTTCCTCCGTACCCACATCTCTAAAAACGGGGGAACAACGGAGCTGAGCCAGATTTGTGTCCGATATGACGTAATATCTGAAATGTGGGCTGGCTTTACGCCCACGGTCCTATCAGAAACGTTGCTATCAGAAACAATGCCCGACTGTTTTGGACGTAATATGGTCTGTGTTTACATTAGCAAGTATCGCTAACACTCAGAGCTAACCTCTGGAGAGAGTGTGTGTAAAAAAAGCAGGAAATAAAGAAAGTAGAACTCACCTTGTGGTAAACCCGCGAGAGAGAAAAAGCATTTGAGCTCCATACTGTTTCAGAAATAATCCTTGATGTGGTTTGGAACATGATATGGCGTTCCATCACGGCAGTATCTGCCGGGACAATTCTCCCGCATGAGCAGGCATAAGCTCCGCCCCCTCCTTTTCTTTTTTTCATTTATTCTTTTTTTTTAAAGCTTTATACCCCGAATCAGCACTTTAGTAACACGGCTGAAACAGAGCGATATGTGTTGGGATATGAGGCATGGCTAGAATGGGTGATCTGTTTGGTATTTTGAGCAAAACACTTCATAGACATGTTTTTTATATATTTGTATATATCTGAGAACTATGCTATTGCCTAAAAATAACATGATAGGTGACCTTTAATATTATTGCTTTCAACTAACCAAATACAGGA